GGCGCCGAACATTTGGACTTGTACACTGAACGCGGTTTGGGTCGCGGGTGGGTCGCAGGTTCTCCACCTGGAACGAATGCAACAGAAACCCGCCGCAGGCGCCGAAAATTTTGAGTGGGTCGCGGGGTGGGTCGCGGGTGGGTCGCGGGTGGGTCGCGGTGGGTCGCGGGTGGGTCGCGGGTGGGTCGCGGTGGGTCGCGGGTGGGTCGCGGGCGCGGTTTGGGTCGCGGGTGGGTCGCAGGTTCTCCACCTGGAACGAATGCAAAAGAAACCCGCCGCAGGCGCCGAAAATTTTGGGTGGGTCGCGGGGTGGGTCGCGGGTGGGTCGCGGGTGGGTCGCGGTGGGTCGCGGGTGGGTCGCGGGTGGGTCGGGTGGGTCGCGGGTGGGTCGCTGGGGGGGTCTCGGGATGGGTCGCGGGCGGGTCGCGGGTGGGTCGCGGGTGGGTCGCGGGTGGGTCGCGGGGTGGGTCGCGGGTGGGTCGGGTGGGTCGCGGGTGGGTCGCGGGTCGCGGGTGGGTCGCGGGGCGGGTTCGCGGGTGGGACGACAACAACAACAACAACAACAACAACAACAACAACAACAACAACAACAACAACAACAAACAACAACAACAACAACAACAACAACAACAACAACAACAACAACAACAACAACAACAACAATTACTAGCACGTGGGGACACTCCGTTCTCACCAGTGCCAGGGTTTTCATAGGAGGCGGGCAATACCCCCACTTTGTGGGGGGGCCGGTTCAAGCTCTACCACATTTCCAAACGACTCTTCGCCACCACCCACACCCAGCTTCCCGCCCTATGACGTTCGGACACTTCACTTCGTGGCCTGCGGACGACCGTGGCTACTACACTGGCGCATGGGTACAGTGACTTGTTGTGGTAACATTTTCTGTAAGCTAGCTTAGTATACGACTTTTCCCCCTGTTCCAACACTGGACACCTGTACTGGTTTTTCGTGGTAACATGTTCCTGACGCTAGAAGGCGCGCGAACGCCGTTGAAAGAGCGTGCGAAAGTAGCTCGCGCGAGCTCATGTAACGTAAATGTTGAAAAACCATTTGTTTTTAAGGATTCGGACAGCGCGCGCGGGTAGAAATTTGGAAAATCCGTGCACGTGTTTTTCGAGGACCTACGGTGCGATTCGTGCGATTTTATGATACGCGGTGCTGAAATTCTTAAGAAACCCAATGGTGTTTGAAGATTTCGGCGTGCGCGCGCGAAGAAAAAACGAATGTGTCCCATATGGTATTATTTGACAGGGATGATGGCCCTGGCATGCGCGCAACCGTTGTTGCAGAAGTTCGAAGCACGTGAAAAAGTTGCTCGCAAGAGCCCGTTTGACAGAAATGTTGAAAAAGTACTGGGTTTCCTAAGAAATCCGCAAGAGCGCGCGGGATGAATTTTTGAAACTTTTTTTTTGAAAAAACCATTGGGTTTTTCATGTTTTTATGTTAAAATCGCTACGAAAACTAAGGTTTTGGAAGGATTTCATCTTGCGCGCGCGAGTGTGCACTTCGTGCCATTTTTTGCAAAGGATTCTTGAAGTTTGGTTATGTTAGAACAAGACATGTCATTTTATATTGTTTTTTGACAGGGAAAGCGGGCGTCAACAAAACAACCGGATCCGGACTCCCCCGTTTTGCCTGAGACTTCCTCACGAAAATGATGAAAATGTGGCTGCGGCCTAGGCGCGGCGAGGGGGGCGTGCACCAGGGGGCCCAACAATAATTATTCTTTAGAAGTAATAATATTCAACAACAACAACACCAACAACAACAACACCAACAACAACAACACCAATAACAACAACAGCAACAACAACACCAACAACAACAACAACAACACCAACAACAACAACAACGATAACGATAACAACAACAACAACAACACCAACAACCACAACAACAACGACAACGACAACGACAACAACAACAACACCAACAACAACCAACAACAACAACAACAGCACCAACAACAGCAACAACAACAACAACAACGGACACAACACCAACAACAACACCACATCAACACCAACAACACCAACGACGACAACAACAACACCAGCAACAACAGACGCAACAACAACAACAATAACAACAACAACACAACACCAACACCAACAATAACAACAACAATCACTTTACCCGAACGCTCAGTGTTCTCACCAGTGCCAGGGTTTTCACAGGAGGCGGGCAATACCCCCACTTTGTGGGGGGGCCGGTTCAAGCTCTACCAAATTTCCAAACGACTCTTCGCCACCACCCACACCCAGCTTCCCGCCCTATGACGTTCGGACACTTCACTTCGTGGCATGCGGACGACCGTGGCTACTATTCAGGGCCCCGCGGCCGACGACGACGGCGTGCGCGCGCGAAGAAAAAACGAATGTGTCCCGCATGGTATTATTTGACAGGGATGATGGCCCTGGCAGGTGCGCAACCGTTGTCGCAGAAGTTCGAAAAAGTTGCTCGCAAAAGCCCGTTTGACAGAAATGTTTAAAAAGTGTTGGGTTTCCTACGAATCCGCAAGAGCGCGCGGGATGAGATTTTGACATTTTTTTGTTGAAAAACCATTGGTTTTTTGATGTTTTTATGTTAAAATCGTTCCGAACACTAAGCTTTTGGAAGGATTTCGTCTTGCGCGCGCGAATGTCCACTTTACCTTATTTTTTGCAAGGGATTCTTGAAATTTGATTATATTAGAACAAGAAATGTCATTTTATAGTGTTTTTTGCAAGGGAAAGCGGGGGGGAACAAAACAACCGGATCTTGATCACATCGAATTACCTGAGGCTTCCTCACGAAAGTGATGAAAATGTAGCTGCGGCCTAGGCGGCGCAGGGGGGCCGTGCACCAGGGGTCCCAACAATAATTATTCTTTAGAATTAATAATGTTCAACAACACGAATCCGCATCGCGGAATTCCACTTCAGCCACGCACCCAGGGACAGTGAATGACCGTTTGGTTCAGCCCCCTCACTCTGATCATTGCTGCATACGTTTCCTTCGCTTTCAAGTCGTGTGGCATACATGTAAACACACATATCGAACATTGAATGTCCTGGGGCATCTTAGTGAATGAACGCGCTTGTCGTTATCACTCCATTCCTGTGGCTGTGGTGCCCTATTATTGCCCCAAACATACTCCACACGTACCCCATTGCTGTTCCAATATTACGTCATTATTGCTCCACTCGTGCCCCATGACTGCTCCATTCTTGCTCCGATATTACCCCGATGTTGCTCCAGTATTGCTTCAATATTGGTCCAGTATTGCTCCAATCTTGACCACTGTTGCTCTATTGGTGTTCCATTATTGCTAAATGCTTGTTCCGTCCTTTCTTGCTCCGTTCATGTTCCTGGAAATGTGGCTGGCATCGATGTAAGGTCAGCCTTCTCCGCGAAGATCTGCGGGGAGGCACTGCGATCCTCGTTTCTTTCCCCTCCTTCACTCGATCTGCGATCCTCCTCCTCCATCCTCCTCGACCCTTGGTGCTCCTCCTCCTCCCCCTCCTCCTCCTCCTCCTCCTCCTCCTCATCATCAGCATCAAGCCGCCACGGCCTCCTGAGCTCAACTGGCTGGGCCAAGACGTAGGCGGCATGCTGCCGTCGGGCGACGTGTACCTGGACGGCTCCGCCTACGAGGGCGACTTCCAGCAGTACACAAGCGTCGGCTGGGCTGCGGTGGTGCTGCAGGAGGACGCGGACGCCTTCCGCGCTGGCATCTCGGGCACGCTGTGCGAGGCCTTCGCCGACATCAACGGCGGCGAGCTGGCCGCGCTCATCGGCACGCTGCGCCATGCCGTGCCGCCCGTCAGGGCCATCGTCGACTCCGACTTCGTGTTCAAGGGTGTGCTGGAGCACGGGCCGCTGATCACCACGCGCTGGGGCTACGCTTGGGCCCATCTCTAGCGCGAGCTCTGGCGGCTTGTCGAGGACTTTGGGGGGATTGGGCCGCATGGCCTGACCCTCAAAAAGGTCCCTGCACATGTCCCGCGACGCCGAGTGACCGACGACGGCGTCATCACCGCTCGCGACTGGATCGGCAACTGCATCGCTGACCAGGCCGCGAAGTGCGCGGCCGAGCGCGCGAGGATTGCGCCCGAGGACCGACAACGCCTGCAGTCGGCACGGGAGCTGGTCGAGGGCGTGGCCATGTGGGTCTCAGCTGTTGGGGCTGCTGTGGGCGGGGACGACGCCACCCACCGCGCGGCGAAGCCCAACAAGGCGGCCCCGCGAGCAGCGTTGCAGCCAGTGACTGCCAAGCTAGGCTGCGACCTCCGTGGGCCGCCTGGTGCGAGATGGTGCAGCAGATGCCGCTGGCTGGAGCGTGCCAGCGAATGCCCAGGCTCGATTGTGACGTCCGCCCTGGACCACAATAGGAAGCTGAGGGCCCAGGGCGCGCTGGCGCACGTGATTGTGAAGATCGAGCCGCAGGTCGAGGCCCAGCTGCAACGGGAGATGCCGCTGCTGGCCTGCCTCGTCTGCGGAGCCACAGGTGCGGCGAGGAGCTCTTCCTTCGCCCGTGCCTGCGGCGAGCCTGGAGCCAAGGGCAAGCTGGCGATTGCGCGGCTCGCCAAGGGCTTCGCGCCAGGCGCCGCAGGCCGTGTGGCCGTCACGGTCGTGCAGCTCGACGACCACAGCGTCGTGGACGACGGCGCGGAGCGCGGCGGCGGCGGCCTGGACGGGCCGCTGCCCTGAGGCGCGCGCGGGGGGAAGAGGCCCCACATCCCCGCGTGCGCATTGACGTCGCCGCGGTGCACCTCGGCGAGTCCGCAGCGGGTCATCTGACCCGTGCCCGAGCGCGTGGGGCGCGCTCGGGCGCCAGCGCGGCCGAACGCCCGCGCTGAAGCGAACGCATCCTCCTCCTCCTCCTCCTCCTCCTCCCCCCCTGTCCTCCATCGATCCGCTGCCCTGGCCGTGGCGCCCCCCCCCCACCCCCCGGGGCCGCGCCGAGGGCCGCTTTGCGGCTGGCCGGGGGTCGGGACCTGTTCAGGCTCGCCATGGCCCGCTCCAGGGCCTCTGGGTCCTTGTCGAGGTCCTGCGCCTTCTGGAACCCCTCCTTTGCGCCGGGCGGCGGGTTCAGAAGTCAAGTCGAGTCCGGGCGAGGAGCCCATGAAGGCCCCTCGCCCCGCAAATGGAGACGGAGGGCGTGAGACAATACGGCAACACGAACGCGCATGCAAGAGATGACTCGCAGATGGGGCTCTCGACCAAGCTTAGCACCCTGTCTGCTGTCCTGGCGGCGTGGCGCCCTCATGACGGCTCACAACAGTAGGACTGACTGACGAGGGCTGAGAGGAGCGAAGGTCTCCCTCACCGATGCTGTCCTACCGTGCGTCGGGTCGGGCACCAGGCCTGGAGCGCCCCGCGTGTTAGAACGATAGAAACATATAGGATACCAAGACACAAACACACATTCTCGAGCGGCCCAAGATCGCCCGAGCCACGTCTATCGACACCACGCGAATCCTGGCAGGCAGTGGGAACTGAAACTCCGAAGCTCCGTGGCCGCCGCAGCCGCGGGGGAAGAGCAGCACATCTTTCGCCGCCGGGAGCGCGGTCCTCCCCCTTGGTTTGGCTCTGGTGCCTGCGTTCGGATGGCGACGTATGCTCGGGGGCGTCCCAGAGGGGGATGTGCAAGAGAGGGGGGGGTGCAAATCATGGCCTGGGGCATGTGCGCGGACCAGGGGGGGCCAGGGAACGCACTGCAATAAGAAGAGGGGCCACGAGATCTGGGAGATACCATGGCCCCCGCCATGATTTCCCTTCCCCCCCCTGGTCCTCACCCCCCCTCCTGGCCGCCCCTGACATGAGCAAGACACGGGATGCAGCGGTCAACGAGCAGGCTTCCGCCGCCAGAAAAGATTTCGGGAGGGGGCGGCCGAAGAGCCTCCGCGGGGGCATCGCCCAGGGCGCTGCCGCGTGACGGGCCCCCAGGGCATCTCTGAATCGCCATCCTCCTCCTCCTCCTCCTCCTCCTCCTCCTCCTCCTCCTCCTCCTCCTCCTCCTCCTCCTCCCCCTACATTGCGAGGGGAACGTTCGGAGGGACAGGCTCAGGGGTGGAAGCATCGACCAGGAATCGGCGATACATCGCCGATGCATCGGCGATGAGCCCCCGAGGGCGACTCCGCTCGTTCCCTGGCGGGGTGGGCCATCGGGCCCCCATCGGCGATGAATGGGCGATTCGGCGTCGATGCGTTCCTCCCTGAGCGTATCCCCCACAACGTTGCCCCTGGCATTACCTGTATCTTGGGAACGCCCTGGCTTGAGCAAGGACTGGCGTTTCCGGCACACCGGCACACCTATACGCACAACACGGACAATTCTTAGAACAGGAGAGCTTTTATTACAACAGAAACACTGCTCTTTGAAGAGAACAACGATGGGTTCGAGCGAAGCGGCCTCGGCCAGAAAGGTTCTAAGAACATTTCGTGCGAACCACAGAAGTTTCTTAGAACATTCTTCGGTGGGCCTCTCGGCAAGCCAGGACGCCCCACCGCTCCTTCACTGGATCTACCCGATCGGGTGAGCGCCGCGCGGTTGGTGCCCCGAGAGCCCCCGCGGGCCCCGAGGACCCTGTCCAACCGCCGCCACCCTGGGAACGCTTCGCCCCCGGGCCTCCGACGCTGTGATCGTTTCAGGGCGGGCCCCTGGTAAGACTCGGGGGTTGCTAAAGGTGCCCCTGGCCTAAGGTGCTCCCCAGGATTTCCAGGAAAGCCCCCACGGCCTCCAGAGCACCTCTCGCGAGGCCTTGAGGGCCACAGGGGCCCCTGTGGCCGTGGGGGCTGTCCTGGAAATCCTGGGGAGCACCTTGGGCCAGGGGCACGTTTTGCAACACCCGAAAGACGAAGACTGGACCGGAGAAAGGTTGGATCCTGGGGAGCACCTTGGGCCAGGGGCACATTTTGCAACACCCGAAAGACGAAGGCAGGACCGGGACAAGATCGGACCGGAACAACTTGGAACTCCCTGAGATCCGGCGGTTCAGGACGTATCGGGCGCCGCGGCCGTCCCAAACCGCTCTGCCTCCTCCTCCTCCTCCTCCTCCTCCTCCTCCTCCTCCTCCTCCCCTTCCCCTACCTCCTCCTCCTCCTCCCTCCTCCTCCTCCTCCTCCTCCTCCTCCTCCTCCTCCTCCTCCTCCTCCTCCGTCCTCCCCTCCTCCTCCTCCTCCTCCTCCTCCTCCTCCTCCTCCTCCTCCTCCTCCTCTCCTCCTCCTCCTCCTCCTCCTCCTCCTCCTCCTCCTCCTCCTCCTCCTCCTCCTCCTCCTCCTCCTCCTCTCCTCCTCCTCCTCCTCCTCCTCCTCACTCCTCCTCCTCCTCCTCTCTCCTCCTCCTCCTCCTCCTCCTCCTCCTCCTCCTCCTCCTCCTCCTCCTCCTCCTCCTCCTCCTCCTCCTCCTCCTCCTCCTCCTCCTTATTCCCGTCCTGGCCCCGCCGGACCCGGCTGGACCTTGCGACGACCTCCCACCAGGGGACCGGCCGGCTTCTCGTCCTGACGCGTCACTCGGCGGTCCCAGGGCTCGATGGACACGGCCTCGAGAGGCAGAGCATGGCGAAACCGTCCACCGTGGCTTCTCCAACGCCAGGGCCCGCCAAGCGGGAACGTGGACAAACCTGGACACCGGCGCGCCGAAGAAGACTGCAACCGTGGATCGTGACGTTCGTCGGACGTCTATTGGCCCGGGTCAACGCCAACCCAGGTCAGTCAGGCTTTGCAGGGTCTTGCGAAATCCTGCCAAATCCTGCATGATCCTGCACGATCCTGCGCGCTAGCCCGGGTCAATACAACCCTGGCTGCGCAGGATCCTGCACCCTGCTTCAAGGCTCCAGAGCTCTCCACTGCTGGCTCTCTCCGGGTGGAACTTCCAAAGTCCTAGTTGGCAGTGTCCTGGTATACAGTGGAGGCCAGTCCACAAGAAACCTTGCACAAGAAGCCCAATCCTGAGACACCAGGATATCCATGGATTTTTGGTGTGGGAACGTCATGCCTGCAATCGCAAAACCATCGAAACCCAAGAAATCCAGGGCACCCTGGAGGCAAGCAGGGTGTTTCTTGGCATGGGCCTCCACTGTATGAGGGGCCCCGACAAGACGTCGGAGGCCTGGTTCTCGAACGGTCCACTCGTCATCCTGGGGCTGCCTGGCGACCGCGGGGGTGGCGCGGCGCGTCGGCGCGAGGAGAAGAGAGAGAGAGAGAGAAGAGAGGAAGAGCGATGGGGGATGTGGAGGAAGAGGAAGAGAGGAGGAGGAGGAGGAGGAGGAGGAGGAGGAGGAGGAGGAGAGGAGGAGGAGGAGGAGGAGGAGGAGGAGGAGGAAGGGGCGGGGGCGGAGGAGGCGGAGGAGGACGAGGAGGAGGAGGAGGAGGAGGAGGAGGAGGAGGAGGGGGCGGAGGGGGCGGAGGGGGCGGCGGAGGAGGACGGAGAGAAGGAGGGGGAGGGAAAGGAGGAGGGCAGACGTCCTTCTTCACCACCAGTATGCGGGAGTTTTCCGTGCTGAGCCAGGCGTCGAAGTCGGACGTGTACGGGCTGGTCCCGAGCGCCATGCGGCCGACCACCGAGAACGCGCCGATCTCCGTCCTGAACCTTCCGTTGGAGGAGACGACGACGACGGCGACGGCGACGACGACGACGACGGCGGCGGCGGCGACGACGACGGCGACGGCGACGACGACGACGACGACGACGGCGGCGGCGGCGGCGTTCGTCGTCCTCCTTCGGCCTCCTGCAGGCTCCTCGTCGCCGCGGCTGGAGCCGCCTCGACGAGCGGGTCTGGTTGGACCCCTGGAGGGATCTGGGGACCGACTTTGAACGAAGTTGGGTTGAGTGGGAGAGCCACCATTGTCTCAAGTGGCCCTCTTCCGATAGCAAGGGTTCGGTGCAACTGGGAACAACCAGACAGCAGGGAACCCGAACAACACGGCCACCACTCTGGAGATAGATCTTGAGATGTCCCTAAACAGTGCTTGCACTCAAAGGTTCTTACTTGTTGCCACGGAACTGCGCCTGATTGTCGGTCTGGCGGCTATGTTGCCGCCGTCGCCGCCCCGTCGCCGCCTCGTCGCCGCCAATCGCCTGGGCCTGTCTGTCAGTTTGGCGGCTAGGTTGCTGCCGTCGCCGCCTCGTCGCCACCCGTCGTCTTGGCTTGTCTGTCGGTTTGGCGGCTATGTTGCCGCCGTCGCCGCCCTGTGGCCACCTCGTCGGCACCTATCGTCTGGACATGTCTGTCGGCCTGGCGGCTATGTTGCCGCCGTCGCCGCCCCGTCGTCGCCGCCCTAGGTCTTTTTTTTGTACATATATATATATATGTAAAAAAACATAACAGACCCCCCCCCGGCGTTATCCCCCTTTCGGGTATGTAAACCATATATGATTCCGACCACATGCCCATCCTATATATGATTTTACACTATCACAGAAGGGCCGGTATCGACCCCCCCTGAGGTTCCTTGGTAAAAAAAAAAAAACGATACGCGGGGACATGTTTTGTTCTAACATAGAATGTGTTCACGTACCCCTTGCAAGAAACTGGACGAAGTGCACACGCGCGCGTCGTCGCGCGCGCATGCCGAAATCCTTCAAAACCTTTCGGTGCCAGAAAGATTTTGCAATTCAGTTTCCAACAAAACACATAAACAGCACATGGTTTCGCAACACTGATTTGCTAAAAAAGCTTACGCGCGAGCTCTTGCGAAATCTTGAGAAAACCATAGGTTTTCAAGATTTTCACAAAATGCTACCAAACGGGCTTCGCGCGCACATGTCGAAATCTGTCGAACGACCTTGCGCGTGTGCCGTCGCGAGAATCCTCTGCAACAAACAGACCGTGCAAACGCGCGCGTCGTCGCGCGCGTATGCCGAAATCCTTCAAAAACCATCGGTTTCGGAAGAATTTCAAACTCGTGTGTCCAAAAAACATACAAAACCACAAGGCTTCGCAAAAGCGTGCGCGCGCGCTCTTGCGTCGTCGTCGTCGTCGTCGCCGTCCTCCCTCCTCCCGCGTCGTCGTCGTCGTCGTCGCCTACGTCGTCCTCTGTCTTTCCTCGTGTTCGTCGTCGTCGTCCTCTTTGGCGTCATGGTCGTTTCCGTCGTCGTTGTCGCCGTGGTCGTCCTTCCTCCTGGTCCCTCGTCGTCGTCGTCGTCCGTCGTCGGCGTCTCGTCGTCGTCCCTCCTATTTCGTCGCCGTCGTCGTCGTCGTCGTCGTCGTCGTCGTCGTCGTCGTCTTCCATCCTCCCTCGTCATTGTCGTCGTCGGCGTCGCCGTCCTCCCTCCCTTCTTCGTCGTTCGCGTCGTCGCCGTCCTCCCTCCTCCCTCGTCGTTGTCATCGTTGTCGCCGTCGTCGTGCTCCCTCCTCGCTCGTCGTCGTCGTCGTCGTCGTCGTCGTCGTCTTCGTTGGCGACGTCGTCGTCGGCGTCGGCGTCGGCGTCGTTGTCGTCGTCGTTGACGTCGTCGTCGTCGTCGTCGCCGTCGTCGTCGTCGTCGTCGTCGTCGTCGTCGACTTCGTCGTCGTCGGCGTCGTCGACGTCGTCGTCGTCGTCGGCGTCGTCGTCGGCGTCGTCATCGTCGTCTTCGTTGTCGTCGTCGTCGGCGTCGGCGTCGTCGTCGTCGGCGTCGTCGTCGTCGTTGTCGTCGTCGTCGAAGTCGTCGGAGACGTCGTCGGTGTCGTCGTAGTCGTCGTCGGTTTTGTCGTCGTCGTCGTCGGCGCTGGTGTCGTTGTCAGGTGCCATTTGAAACCTACCATCACGGTCTCAAGAGGTTTTGTAAACCAAGTTGCGGGTGGGTGGGTGGGATGTTTGCAAGAGCATGAGATGTGTCACATCATGGGTAAACATCAACTTCGCAACATAGATTGCACCGCATAGGTTGCACCGAGAAATCAGCACCGAATCTATTGCACCACATAAGTTGCACTACATAGCTTCCACAACACAGACTGCGCCGCATACACTGCACTACAGGGCTTGCACAACATATACTACAACACTTAGAACGCACAATTTTTTTGCAGGCAAGCAAATGGCCAATGGGCTCCACGCTGCACATTGTCAAATGCCATGCGGTTAACGGAGTCGCCCGGCACGAGCCGATCCGCAGGAGAGAAAACACACGGGCCAAAAAAATCGCCGGCCCAACGGGACAGCGGCGTGCCAAGATCTCCGGCAACTTGCCCACAGGATTTCTAGCTCGCGCGCGAGGGGCGGCCCCTGGGGGTCTCCGACGAAAAGGGCCCTGGCAACGTTGCGGCAGACCTACGGCAAGGTCCTGGCGAGGTCCGCCCGAGGATGCCGGAGCCCCCCGGGCCGGTTTCCCGCACCCTTGCGCGGCGCTCCAAGAGGGCCTCCAGAGGCCCCCAGGATGGTCCACGAGGGCTCCGAGTCGCCGACCGATCGGTCGAAGACGCCCAAGCTCGCCTCCACGCGGCCGCAGACGCCTCGAAGACGCCTACAGACGCCTCCAAGACGCGTCTCCAGAGGGCCCCAGGTCACACAAATCATTGATTCCCCTTCGGTTGTTGCAGGATTTTGGCGTTCTAACCTGTTCGGCTTCCCGACGCTCCAGGAGAGCCCACGAGGCCCTCAGCATCGCCCCCAAACGGCCCCAGAGGGCTTCAAGAAGTTCCCAAGACGGCCCACGATGGCCCCAAGACGGCCCAACAGGCCTCCAAGACAGCTCGAGATGGCTCCAAGGACTGCCCCAAGAGGGAGCCAAGACGGGGAACCTGAACGGACAGTTCGGGGCCAGCCTCCAAATCGATCCAAGACAGCCTAAGAGACCTCCAAGAGGGCCTCAAAGCAGCCCAAGAGGGCCGCAAGACGGTCCCAAAAGGCCCAAGAGCTCTCCAAGACCGCCTCGGAAAGCCTCCCAAGAGGCCCCCAAGAGCTCCCAAGAAGCTCCCGAGTCGGACTCCCGAGAGCTCTGGACATTTCGAGCGGCGCGAGGAGGAACGGGTGGAAACGGGAAGGGGCGAAGGCACAGGGCAGCAGGAGAGAGGAGGAAGGAGCAGCAGGAGTAGGAACCAAGAACGTATTCTATACGGCCCCCAAGAAGCCCCCAAGGGGCCCCCGAGACGCCCCAAGAGACCCCCAAGAGGCCCCCAAGGACCCTGTGACGCTCCAGGAGGTCCCAGAAATACCGCCAAGATGCCCCCGAGAGCCCTCCCAAGAGACCGACAAATACCTCCTCCTCTTCCTCCTCCTCCTCCTGCTCCTCCTGACCCACCACGAGCACGCCAACATATAGCAACACTGATACACTACGGGCCGACGGAATGAGCGAAGCGATTCAATAACGAATTACATCCCCCATCTCAGTCTCTGCCTCCGGCCGCAGGCCAGATGATAACGTGAAACGATGTACCCGGCCCGACAGGGTATTATTCGCACCGAAGTGGGAAGTGTGGTTTCCAAAGTTGTTTGTCCAAGCGAATGAGAATTATCCCGGCAAAGCAACCTAACAGCGATGTGTAGAAGCATATCTGAAAGCATTCCCCTTAAGATTCAGATGAAAATCCAGTTGTCGAATTCTGCTGTTCTCGCAGTCGTAGTCGCATTCGCGATGACAGTCGCAGCGGCAACGGCAGTCGCAGTCACAGCCTCAGCCTCAGCCTGCCTCCTCCTCCTCCCTCTTTCTCCTGCTCCTCCTCCTCCTCCTCCTCCTCCTCTTCCTCCTGCTCGTCCTCGTTCTCGTCCTCCTCGTCTTGCTCGTCCTCCTCCTCCTGGTGCTCTCTCCTCCTCCTCCTCCTCCTCCTCCTCCTCCTCCTCCTCCTCCTGGTGGTCCTCGTTCTCCTCCTCCTGGTGCTCTCCCCCCCCCTCCTCCTCCTCGTCCTCCTCCTCCTCCTCCTCCTCGTCCTCCTCCTCCTCCTCCTCCTCCTCCTCCTCCTCCTCCTCCTCCTGGTAGTCCTCCCCCTCCCCTCCTCCTCCTCCCTCCTCCTCTTCCTGGTCGTCCTCGTTCTCGTCCTCCTCGTCTTGCTCGTCCTCCTCCTCCTGGTGTCCTCCTCTCCTCCTCCTCCTCCTCCTCCTCCTCCTCCTCCTCCTCCTGGTGGTCCTCGTTCTCCTCCTCCTGGTACTCTCCCCCCCCCTCCTCCTCCTCCTCCTCGTCCTCGTCCTCCTCCTCCTCCTCCTCCTCTTCCTCCTCCTCCTCCTCCTCCTCTTCTCCTCCTCCTGGTACTCCTCCCCCTCCCCTCCTCCTCCTCTCCTCCTCTTCCTGGTCGTCCTCCTCCTCCTGGTCGTCCTCCTCCTCCTGCTCGTCCTCCTCCTCCTCCTGCTCGTCCTTCTTCTCCTGCTCCTCCTGCTCCTCGTCCTGCTCCTGCTCGTCCTCGTCCTCCTGGTCTTGCTCGTCCTCCTCCTCGTCGTGCTCTTGCCCCTGCTGAAAATGTGGCCCAGGAATGGGAGTTCTGGGAAGTCGAAGAGCACGAAGTTGCCTACAGTTGGCTACGGGCATTCAAAATGTGGCCCGGGAATGGAGTTCTGGGAACTCGAAGAGCACGAAGTGGCCTACAGTTGGCTCCGGGCATTCAAAATGTGGCCCGGGAATGGAGTTCTGGGAACTCGAAGAGCACGAAGTGGCCTACAGTTGGCTCCGGGCATTCAAAATGTGGCCCGGGAATGGAGTTCTGGGAACTCGAAGAGCACGAAGTGGCCTACAGTTGCATCCGGGCTCCAAAATGTGGCCCGGGAATGGAGTTCTGGGAACTCGAAGAGCACGAAGTGTGTGACTGTTGCATTCGGCCCTCCAGAATGTGGCCTGGGAATGGAGTTCTGGGAAATCGAAGAGCACGAAGTGTGTGACTGTTGGCGAAAAACGAGCCCGGCACCTGCCGCCCGGCAACTCCCAACACCTGCCCGGACCCCCCTGTGGAGTGATCTGTGAGCTCTTTTGAATCAACTAGAAGCCTATCAGTCTTCGCTGTTAGGTAAAATGCTGTGTAGTAAGAGCCCCTATTGGATGGCCTAAGCGACCACGCAAATAAATCCAACACAGCATGAGATAAGAGAGAGGCAGAAGAGGATGAGGAGGAGGGAGAGAGGAAAGAGGGCAGGGAGAACGGCGGCAACGACAGCCCAATCCGCAACATATAATGGACCACCTGGATTGCACAAGATAGATTGCACCACATCGAGTACACCACATACAATTGCACAACATAGACGGCACCATATATATATATATATATATATATATATTGCACCACGTAGATTGTATTACAGACGTTGCACCACACATGCATAGCATCAATTAGACTGCACCGCGTATATTGTACCACATATATGAATCCGCATGTATTGCACCACATGGGTTGTACAGCATACATAGCACCGCGTATAGTACACAACATAATTCACGACACAGTTTCCACCACATAGGTTGCACTACATATATATATAGATATATATATATATATATATATATATTGCACCACATTGGTTGCTAGAACAATTATGTGTTGGGCCCATGCTGGCGAACTTTTCAATCAAGCCCATGCGTGTATGACCGAATGCGTGCTGCCTGCTGGCCCCCACCCGCACTGGGGACGGATGCGGAGTGAGGTCGCAGCGAGTCTGGTCGCGCCTTCGAGGGCGCCCTCGACGTCGAGGGTGCCTCGAGAAATGCCCTCCAGAACATCCTCTTGGCGTGCAGCAGGCTCTGGGAAACGGGCCCTGGGCCCCCGGAGCCTGCCCCAAGGACCAGGTTCTCGTCCCGAGCCGCTCCGGACAACCCCGAGGCCCGTGGAAGACCCGGGCATCCCCGGGGCCCGGCGAAGCACCCGAGGACCCGTTTCCCTCAGGACCCGTCTGCTGCGTGGCGAATCATAACTGCAGCCTCGATCCTCGATCCCTCCGAAGTGAGGGGCGGGCGACGAGGAGGGGGGGGGGCATCTGAGGGGGGGAAACATCGAGTTGGAACTGGGAATAACCTTGGGAAGCAATTATCGCCCCCCTCCCAAGGCCCCTCACTTTTCGGCGAAACTATGTCGCTCCTCGAACCCTGGAAGCGATATCTCGCCCTGGACCCTTCAGCGCGTGATCCCAGCAAATTCCGAATAGGAGTCCAACAAGACCCTCATTTGATTCCAATGAAAACTCTAGAGGGTTGTACCCTGATTTCAATACAATCCCAATCGGATTCTTATCATATTCCAATCGGGTTCAAACAGAATCCCCGTAGGATCGGATCCCTCCACCGTGGGACTCCCTCCTAAGGATCCACCTTGGGAGCCATCCCGTAGGAATGGTTTGATCAATGAATTTGCCGTGGTGCTAGCGATATCGCTCGGCGTCCCCCCCACCCTCGGGCGTTAATCAATTACTTTGAGTGTTACGGATCACGCCGGGTGGATCGATCATTGCCGCCCATGGTAACAAGGGCGGGGTGGGCTACCAGGCCACTATCGGCGATCAGTGGGCGATTCGGAAGTCGATTCATCGCCCTCTGAGCATATTCCCCCCTGACGTTGCCCCGGACCTCTTCGACGCCTGGTCGCTCTCGGCTCAAAACTCGGGACGACCAGGGAACCCCGGAAACGCTCTCGGCGAGGCGCAGCCGCTGGAAGGCCTCCCGACGCTGGAAAGCGGCCGAGAAACTATGAACACGTCCGCAAGCCTCGACTGTCGTCCCAACGCATCGCCCCCAGGCATGACTCCACGTGCTGTCCCCGAGTTGCGCGCCTATTTATGGCCCCCAAGTCGTGACCCCAGAGGCGAGCCCCCCATCCAGCCACGCGCGCGCGCTGGGGCGAGCAAGACCGCGCGGCCCCCCGATACTCCGATCGACCACCTCGACCCCTTGGCAGCGCAGGAATACAGTATTCGGCCTGACCTAAGGAACGATAAACAAGGAACGAAGCCCCTTTTTTTAACCAAGTGAGTCTAGGAAGTCCGAAGGAGCACCGGGGGCTCGCCGCCAAGAAGGTGGCGGAACGCATGCAAACCAAAGGAACGACCGAGCCCCTTTTGAAAAGTTAGTTTTCCTTGTTCACGCCGGGCCCTGTGGAGGCAACAGCTTGCAGAACCCAGCAGAAGCTTCTGGAGGTCCGCGCAGATTTCTTGGATCGGTGCTGGAACAGCCTGGCGGCGCCTCCAGCGCCGCAACTGGCGCGCTCCGTCCCCCGGGTCTGGTTTTTGAAGGCGCCTTCTGGTAACTGGGGCGGGGTCCGGTTTATCAGGGCGCTTTCTTTGGATTGGAGCTTGGGGGGTTCGGTTTATCAAGGCTCCCCGTCGAAGAGGGGGGTCAGGAATATTAGGTCGCATTTGGAGGGGGGTCCGGTTTCTTAGGGGGGGTCGATTAATAAGGGATTTGGAGTAGGGCCCAGCGCCGATCCCACTAATTCTTGCGGGACTCCAAAAGCTTGCGCCTGCGCTTTCCTGCCTTCTCCCACTGGTCCGTACAGGCTGCGACTACACCCGGCTCCCTGTGCCTGAGGCTGCCTGCGTCCTCCTCGGGGCGTAGGGTGGATTCGCTACAGTCGGGGCGTTGCCCCAAGGAACCCCACATAAGGAATGAGGCCCCTGTTTCCCATCACTTGAACTTCGATTCCCCGTCAAAGAACGACGGAGAACCCAAGAGGCACACTGGGAAACAAATAAGGAACACCAAGCCCCTCCCAAACGAACAGGGTTCCTTCTTCAGCGCCCCGGCTCTACGGCTGAGACCTCCTCCCTGTTTTCCTCCTCTGCTGAGGGGCAACGATGGGGGGGGGACTGGCATAGGGGGGGATGCATCGACCTGGAATCGGCGATACATCGCCGATAGATCGGCGATGGGCCCCCGATAGTGAATCCGCACCTTCCTGCACAGGTTGGGGCTATCGGGCCCCTATCGGCGATCAATAGGCGATTGGTTGTCGATGCATCCCCCGTGTGCCTATCCCCCTCCCCGTCGTTGCCCCTGAGAGGAGGAGGAGGAGGAGGAGGAGGAGGAGGAGGAGGAGAAGGAGGAGGAGGAGGAGGAGGAGGAGGAGGAGGAGGGGCAGCGCGGGAGCGAGGGGGAGAGGGGGAGCGAGGCAGGAGAGGGAACGATTCGGTCGGGCCTGCCCCCCTACAGAGGGCTTTTGGGGCGAAGACTCAACACATACCCAAAACACGTTCAAACATCTCCCCCCTTTGCGCCTGCCCCCCCGTCGTTGCCCCCGAGCTGCGACCACCCTCCCCTTTGCCACCCGCCCGAGTGTGCCAACAGCCCGGCGCGGCCCGCCGGCTCTTCCAGAGCACCGGCGACCGCTGGCGCTGCGGAGCACCAACTTCTTCCTACTCGAGAGAAGCGGAGGGCAGAACATCCACCCCGAGAACAACCACCCAGGCACGCGAAGCCGCTGCGTAGACGCACTCGAACGAAGAAGGAATCGGACAAGGCAGGGCTGTCTGGTAAACGCCCAGGGCCGTTTAGCACACGCCGGTTGTCGGGTCCGGGTGGTTTGTCCCCCCTTGGAGAAAGGCCCCCCCCAGACGCACAAGAATCCCGGCCCCCTGGGCCCGTGCAGTGGTGCGCTCTGGCCAGGATCCTGAGGCGGGCCCAGCCATGGTCGCGAGGAGCCATCTGGAGGCGCATAACAAACAGGTCAAACACAAACGATCAAACATTGGATGCTCATTCTGGGGACCTTCCTGGAGCCACTCGCTCCACTCGTGCGTCGGAGCTGCGTCGGACGTCCGTCGACTTGGGTCGACCCTGAGTCGAACCTGAGTCGAACCTGAATCGAACCCGAATCGAACCCGAGTCGAACTTTAGTCGAACTTGAGTCGAACTGGGGTCGAACAGGTCCGTCGGGTGGGCTCTCCAGGAAGGTCCCCCCAAACGCGCATCTGACAGACACGCAACTCCTCGATGCCCCGAGGGCGCTCCCTTGGCGTGCGGCGCTGCCGCGGCGACCCCCCCCCCTTCCCGGGGGCTTCGGGCGCGGAGCCGTTCGCGCCCCGCCAGCGCGGTCAGGCGGCCCTGCAGCACCAGGAGGCAGCGGTCGCTCTCCTGATGGGGCCGGCCGGGGGCTCCGCGGGTCGTTCTTCGTGATCTGTCTGCTACAGTCGGGGCCTTGACCTAAGGAACCCTAGAGAAGGAACGAGGCCCCTTTTTTCCATAAGTGAACCTTAGACTTCCCAGCGAAAGCTTAAGGAAAACCTTGGGCAAGGTGTGGAACAATTAAGGAACACCGAACCCCTCCCCAACGAAAAGGGTTGCTTCTTCAGCGCCCGGACTGTACGGCAGGTTCGTGTGGTGGCGACCTGCGCGTTGGTTTCTGGCACCGCACGGCCCGCCAAACACCGAACGACCGCGGCCTTCGGATAGCGCGCACCGTTCGATGTCGGCCTAGTCTTGGGCAACCGGCGCTGCTCAACCTGGAACGCCCGCATTGTGGGGTCGCCGCCGCGTGGACACGGCACGGACCTGCCGTGTCTGGTCCACGATCCAGGCACGGTGGCGGCATGGGCCGACGGGCACCCGCTAGATCCGCCGTCTCCCGTGGCTTTGCCTCAGGGGCCCTTGGCGTGCCAAAGTGAAGGAGGAGGAGGAGGAGGAGGAGGAGAAGGAAGAGAAGGAGGAGGAGGAGAAGGAGGAGGAGGAGAAGGAGGAGGAGGAGGATGTCTCTATTGTTTTGGGCCCTTCAAGAGGAGGAGGAGCAGGAGGAGGAGGAGGAGGAGGAGGAGGAGGTCTCTATTGTTTGGGGCCCTTCAATAAGGTTCGCCGTGAGGTCTGGGCCGATCCCGGCGTCCACCCGGCAGACGCCAGAGCGCACCTTCCTCTGCCTCCAGGACACCCCAAGATGGTGCCCAAGAGGGCCTCTAAGACGGCCAAGATTTTTTGTAAGACCTGGCCTGCGGCGCTGGCCCCCCAGACTGGGGCAGTGCGATGGGTGAGGCGCGCAAGCGGCGCACCGTCACCTCTTCATCATCATCTCCTTCTTCTTGCGGTTCCACTCCTGCGCGAGCTTGCTCATGTCAGGCTGCAGCCCCTGCTGGATCCTGGCGAAACGCCTCCAAGACGGCGAAGGTGGCCCCACGACGGCCCAAGACGCCCTGCAGACGGCCCCATCCGCCCCCCCCCCCCCCCCCCCGACGTCCCAGTAGAACTCCAAGAGGCCCTCGAGGAGGATGTCTCTATTGTTTTGGGCCTTTTAATAAGGTTCGCCGTGCGGCAGACGCCAGAGCGCACCTTCCTCTGCCTCTGGGACACCCCGAGATACAGTCGGGGCCTTGACCTAAGGAACCCTACATAAGGAACGAGGCCTTTTTTTTTTTTTTCCATAAGTTAAACTTCGATTTCCGATCGAAAACATAAGGAAAACCTGAGGCAAGCTGTGAAACACTTAAGGAACACGGAGCCCCTCCCCAACGAAAAGGGTTCCTTCTTCAGGGCCCCGACTGTAGTGCCCAGGAGGGCCTCCAAGACGGCCGAGATGCCTCCACGGCTTCCAGGATGGTCCCGAGACGCCCCCAAGACGGCGAAGATGGCCCCCACGACGGCCCAAGATGCCCTGCTGACGGCCCCATACGCGCCCCCCCCCGACGTCCCGATAGAACTCCAAGAGGACCTCGAGGAGGTGGCCGAATTCGCTGATTTCTCAGTTCTCCAACTGAGCATTTTCTTGGGGTGGAGGGCTCAGGGTGAACTCCATATGGGCGTTTGCACCTCGAAAATCATTCCGTCTTGTGATTCTCCTTCTGCAGATGCAAGCCCCGAAAGCCCATCGAAATGGCATGTCAGATTTCACCCTTTGCCCTCCACCCAAAGAAAATGCTTGGTCCAATGATGTTAGCGTTCTCGCGCTTTCGGTCTTCCGACGCTCCAGGGCGGGAGGCCCCAAGCATCGCCCCAAGACGGGCCAAGAGGCCCCCGGGAGGCCCCTCGTAGGCCCCCGAGAGGCTCCCGAGAAGGCCCCCAGGAGGCACCACGAGGGCCTCAAGAGGTGCCCTCGTCCTCCTCCTCCTCCTCCTCCAACTCCTCCTCTTTCTCCTCCTTCTTCTCCCTCTCCTCCTCCTCCTCCTCTTCCTCCTCCTTCTTCTCCCTATTCCTCTCCCAAACTTTCCCCCAAGGGGTTCCGCAACGGCTGGGGGACCACATAATTCAACAGCTCTGCCAGACCTGGGCCAAACATTTGGCCGCATTGGCGCTTCCAGAAGCAGGGGGCGGCGGTGGTTCGCCTTACGCGTCTTCGATAACTGGGAGCTGTGATGACTGGGAGCCACTTCTGAAGCCGCGGTGGGAATATCCACGTCGGGCTTGCGCTGTTGTCCAACAAGACGGGGAATCTGGACACGCACGAGGCGAGAGGGCGAGGGAATTCGGCTTTTCAGCTGGAGGGGTTCTTTGCGCTCGAGCTTGCCTTCGCGAGCTTGCAGAGGTGAAGTGGCAGGAGGGAGGAGGGGCGACGGGAAGATGAGCCAAGGGAGGAGGGGGGAGAGAAGGAAGAGGGCAAAGGGAGAAGGTGCGAGGGAGGAGGGAGGCAGGGAAAACGAGAAAGGAGGCGAGAGGAGAGTGCCAGGAGATGGAGGGCGGGGGAGGAAGGGATTGAGCACAAGAGGGGTGAGCGATGGAGCGAGGAGAGGGGGCCCCAAGGCTTGGTGCTCCTGCGCCCTCTTTCGACATGGACAGCGGGCGTGGCCTCCGAGTCGAAGTAGTTACTCGGGTGACCCAGAAAGGGGGTCCAGCTGAAAGGGGGTGGTGCAATAGATCATGGGCAATTGTATTGCACATGTATTGCGCCAGAGACTTGTATTGCACTGTATTGCAAGTAATGCATTGCAAGCGGCAGTACAGCAGTACATTTGCGCCCCGAAATGTATTGCACGCCCCAAATGTATTGCAACCCCACACATTTATTGCACCACATCTATTGCACCAACCCCTTGTCGCTGGACCCCGTTTGGGTCAACCCGAAGTAAGAAACAACCTCGAGAAGGTAAAATCAATGATCATCCCTGAGTTTTGCATGTTTTCGTCGTCGTCACCGTCCCCCTTCAGGGTCGGCGGCGCTGGCTGTAAGGCCTTCGCCATAGAAGCAGCACCGACAGAAACATAAACGCTCAGCGGTCCGCGCAGATCTCTTGGATCGGCGCTGGGCCCGCCCCTTCAGCGGCGCCTCCTGCACCTCCCTCCGGGCGCGCTCCCGCGCATTCCGGCGACTCCCTGGAGCGCCCTCGGCGCCTCCCAGGCGCGCGGGAGCGCGCCGGGGGCGGCGCCACGGGGGACGGTCCAACGCCGATGCAAGTATGCCGCGCGGGCCTCTGCGGGTTTGTGCCCACGCTGCGTGCTTCTTCGTCCGTTGCTGGGCCCGAGGATGCCACGCACCATGGCGGAGGAACAGACTTCGTGGCCGAGGAGGGAGACATGTATCGTGGCCGCGGACGAAGCATTCCTGGGCCTCCGAATGTTAGTCTTTACGTTTTTGTTCCCTCCCCTTTTCGAGGGTCGAGGGCCAAGACTTTCCCAACCATGCTGTGGTGTTGGGCCATCGTTTTGAAGAGACGTCGCCCCGCGTTCCTCTCCTCCTCCTCTCCTCCTCCTCCTCCTCCTCCTCCTCCTCCGCCTCCTCCTCCTCCCCCTTCCTCTCCTCCCATCATCATCATCATCATCATCATCGTCATCATCCTCACCATCAGCGTCATCATCATCATCGTCATCATCATCATGATCATCATCGTCATCATCATCACGACCGTCACCATCACCAGCATCACCACCCATGTCGGCACACACCTCACACGTTTGGTGGCTCCATAGGGAGCTCCACCGAAGGCCCCAGTGCCACCGCCCGCATGCGTCCCCCACGCCCATTTCGGCACACCCCTCACACGTTTCGTGGCCCCATACTGAGCTCCACCGAAGGCCCCAGTGCCACCGCCCGCATACGTCGCCCCCCCCCACACACACATATTGGCACACATCTCACACGTTTCGTGGCTCCATATGGAGCTCCACCGGAGGCCCCAGTGCCACCGCCCGCATGCGTCCCCCACACCCACTTCGGCACACCCCTCACACGTTTCGTGGCCCCATACTGAGCTCCACCGAAGGCCCCAGTGCCAGCGCCCGCATGCGTCCCCCACACCCACTTCCGCACACCCCTACGCGGAGGAGAGCACCGTGGGGCACCAGGGCAGGACGCTCTCGATGCCCGTGGCGAAGGTGAGCATCGGCAACTCGCATGGGGGTCATCGCGCGGTGGGGGCCCGCACAAACAATCCCCCTCCCTGTCGCGACCGAGGAGCGCGACGGCCCCCAGCAGCCGCCCAAGGGAGGGGCACGCTGCTGGGCTGCCGCCACTCTTGGGCCCCCACGGGGGATGACTGCCCTGCCGCTGGCTTTCGGGCCCCTGCGGGGGAGGACTGCCCTGCCCCTGGCTGGTGCGGCTCGCGAGGACGAGCCCGGCGGCCTCGCTGCCGCCCGCGGCGGGCTCGGGCAGGCCATCGCCGCCGTGGCAGTGGCGGCGCCCGCGTGGCCACCGCCGCCGCCACCGCCGCCCGCCGACTGCAAGCAGATGTGAATCCCGCTTCTTCGAGCGGGAACGGTGCTGTACCTGGCGACTGGCGGGCACATGGGATGTGGAGTCGGACGGCCAGCGTGGCCTGGCTCCCCTGCTGCAGCGGGACCCCGCGCTCGACAACAGCTTGGTGCAGCACCTTTTCCTCTGACTCAGGGCCCTGGCACCTGTGCCAGACTTTGGCCCTCGCGTAGTCTTGCCCAGGAGGAAGGGGAGGAGGAGGGGGAGGAGGAGGAGGAGAAGGAGGAGGAGGAGGAGGAGAAGGAGGAGGAGGAGGAGGAGGAGAGAGAGAGGAGGAGGAGGAGAGGAGGAGAGAGAGGAGGAGGAGGAGGAGGAGGAGGAGGAGGAGGAGGAGGAGGAGGAGGAGGAGGAAAGGCATCTCGGCCGAGAGGCCAGCCTCCGAGCGGAGGCCCGCCCCCGTCGGCCGTGCCTCGGCGCGCCGCGGTGCGCCATAGAGCGGTGGGAGGCCCCAGGCCGACCCCTCCCG